GTTCTCTAATTCTCATTTTACTGTTTTATTACTTATTTAACCTCAGAGCTTCCTTTAAAATGCAGGCTGTAAGCCAGGCCTGGTGGTGCACACCAGTAGTCTCAGTTACGCGGGAAGCTGAGGCGGGAGGCTCGCTTGAGCCCAGGAGTTCAAGGCTGCAGTGCACTGTGACTGCACCTATGATAACCACTGCACTCCAGCTTGGACAAGATAGTGAGACGTGGGCCCTAAAATAATGTCATTAATAATAATAGTAATTTCTAAAAATGTAGGCTTAAAAATCCTGGTTTTACAGACTGAAAAATGAAACTCAGAGGTGTTAGTTACCTTGCCCACGGCTGTGCTACTGGTCACATTTTGGAACTACAGGTGCAAACATGAAAAGCTTTGCTCTTGCCACAGACCGTGCTGCCTGTCTTTCACATCCTGTTCCCTTTTTCAGAAAACCCCAAAGGAAGTCACTTAAAATTGTGTTGGGGTCAGGTGGGTTCTGTGTGCAAATCCTCTCTCACTGCCCTCCAGCACGTCCTGACGGCCCCCAGCCCCTAAAGAGTATACACAAAAGCCCAATAGTTAAATGGGCAGCAGAAAATATGTTTTTCAAATTTCCCAACAAATGAAACTATGATAAAATCTGGAGTACAGAATGTGGCCAAAATCAAGAGACCACATGGCCTTCATTCAGCATCTCTTAGATCTCTGCCTGCCCCTGGACCCCACTTTTAAACCTCAGTATGAGATGTTACCACTCTGAGGCTAGGAAAGACCAAAATAAGGTACACCCACCAGTGCCAAAATTGAGTGAGTCTGAGCTAAGAAGGTGTCCATCTGTGCCCAGAGCCAGAGCTAAGCAGACCTGGGCTTCCTTGCTTTAAAAGATGAGATGGCCCAGCCTTTTCTCTTAGAGCAGGTTAAGGCTCTGGTTTCTCCATCAACCCAATGGCTCTAAGAGGAAGAGAAGACACATGTCTGAACTGTGCATAAGCACAGCCTTTAACAGTGGCCCTCCCAGGGCAGTGAGGGCTACTGAACCTCCCAGGGTCCTTCCTTGGCAAAGACATGACAGGCAGGTAGAGAGAGTTTGGGAGTGTGGGTTGGACGCCCCTTCCCTAGGAAGGCTGGTAAAGAGATGAACAGAGTCTTCTTTCCCTACGAGAAAACATAAGCCAATGGCTATTTACTGAGCACCATCTGTGTACTCAGCCTTACACCAGATGTCATAGAAAAATTGAAAGGAAAGCTGAGCATTGTAGGATGAACAGGACATGCCAGAGGCTGCATATAGTTCTGTATTGCCTAGATCATGACAGAGATCTAGGAGAAAGAGAGAGAAGGCAGGAGAGAGGCCCAGGAGCAGTCATTCCAGGCCTGCATGCCATGCTGAAATGCACAGACTTTACCAGCACAGCAGTGGTGGCCACATGAGAGTTTGAGGATCGTGCCGAGCAGCTACCAAAGGTGCCCTTCCCTGTTGCCTTACACTTTGTTTTGTTTTGTTTTGTTTTTGATTTTAGGCATTTTTTTTATTTCAAAATATTAAGGGAGTACAAATGCTTTCATTACACTTGTATCTTTTATTATACTTAAGTGGGGGCTTTTAGTGTGCCGTCACCTGAGTAGTGCTCATCATACCTGATAGGTAAGTGTTTCCCCCTCCCCACTTTGCTCTCCCTCCTCCCTTCCTGGTTCCTCTTTGTGTTCCTGTGTACCCATCAATCAGCTCCCGAGCATCAGAGAGAACACGTGGTGTTTGTTTTTCCATTCTTGAGATAATTCACTTAGGATAATGGTCTCCAGTCCATCAAAGTTTCCGAAAAGACATAATTTAATTCCTTTTGAAAGCTGAGTAGTACTCCATGGTATACATATACCACACTTTCTTAATCCAAACATGAATTGATGGGCACTTTACAAGTGCGATAACCATTCAAGTGCAGATGTCTGTATTTTTCTTTTCTTTTAGTAAAATGACTTCTTTTCCTTTGGGTAGATATCCAGTACTGGGATTTGCAGGATCAAGTTGTAGGTCTACAACCTTTCTTTGGGCATCTCCACACTGTTCACCATAAAGACTGGGCTCATTTGTAGTCCCGCCAACAGTGCATAAGCATTCCTTCCTCCTTGCGACCACGCCAGCATCCATCACTTTTCCACGTTTTAATAATGACCATTCTGACCAGGGTAAAATGGCTGGAATCTCATCATCTCACATCCCGAAACAAACATTCTCAACCTTGGTGGCCTTAGGCTATCAAGTAACACCAGCCTCACAATCGTCCTTCTCCCGTGGGACTGCCTGAGAAAGCGATCCACCTGTGCTCTCTCTCATTTACAACCACCGATGCCCAGGAATAATGGCGTGCTGTCACAGACTATTTTTCCAGGCTGTTTGGAGGGAAGTTTCCCATCTGCCTAGAGCCCTCTGGGAACTCACTGATGCACAAACCTTCTGTTCTTATCTAGAGTTCCCACAGAGAGATCCTGTCAAGGTGATCCGTAAAATCAAAATTGTGCAAGTTAAAAAAACGAAACAAAAGCCTCCTGTGGAAGGAGTCACCAGTCACTTTTCAGCCTTCATGTTCCCTGACCATGCAGAGGGAGTTGACATTCTTGGTTACGCCCTCCTTGTAAATTTCTCCCCTGCCACCCCAGCGCCCTGAGCTGCAGCTCTTCTGTTTACCTGACCACATTTCCTAAATTCCCACTGCTGCTTCTCTTCCTCCAGCCCGTTAGCTTCTCCCACAGCTCCGTCTTGGGTCCTCTTGCTTCTTGCCGTGCTCACTCTCCTTGGGCAGATGCCTCCATTTCCAGGTCTTCAGCCACTACGTAATCCGTCCAGCCTGAGTTTCACAACCATCCTAGACACCTAGATATTTCCAACTGGATAATCCTAAGCGCCAAACATTCAGCTTGCCCAAAATCAGCTTCCTCACCTGATCTCCTGTATGGACTTGCCTCTCTTCCTGTGCTTACCCGGTGAAGATAGTGAAAACATTATTGTCATCCTAATGACTTATTCCCGCCAACACACACACACATAAAACATGTATTAAGATTACCCCACATCTTGTCCTGCACCTCCCAATTATCGGGGTCATTGTCTTATGCTCTTCCCTTGTAACTCACGCCTAATTAAATATTCTTCCAAACACTTTTCTCCTGCACTCCATCCTCCACCTCCCACCACAGTTGTCACTGCAGATCTGGTCACTCCCTTCCCTGATTAGAATCGTGAACATCTGCACATGGCCTACAGTGTAACACTCCCTAGCACAGCAGGGGTTGAGCCTTTTCCCCTCTAGTCCCACAATCTCAGCACCTGGGTTATAGGAAAACTCTGAAAACCAGTGGCTCTCATTCTTCTGAAGCTTTTCTCATGATCCCCACTATTTCATACCTACACACTTTCTCTTCAACCTCCAATTTCCAACCCAAATGTCACCTCTTTTGTGAAGCCTCCCCTGATTTCCTTTTCTATTTCCCAAAAGACAGCTGTTCATAACCTTTTGTAGATCGCAGCACATTGTACTATAGTTCATTGTTTATTATGACCGTATCCCCCTTTGGATTGTGACCTTTTAGAAGATGGAGAGGATGTGTCTTTGGCCCTGGTAACCTATGGCTTGCCACTTAGCCTGGAAAGAAAACTTGTTGAATGAATAAATATTATGATGAAACCACAGAACCAAAAAGATTACTGCAGACATGAAAGATACACTACTACTCACCAAATAAAATCATAGAGAGGACTTTAAATTCCAGCTTTAACACTTACCGACTAAATCGCTTCCCTCTGAGCCTTAAATCTTAATCTGAAAAAATGAGAGAGACCAAAATACCTCTTAGGTTTGTTCTAAGGAACAAAAATGAGATCTTATACATGAAGTGTTTAGTATAGTGGCTAAAACATAGTCGGGGCTCAATACATTATTTATACTGGTATTATTAATAATAAATAAGAAAGTTCAGGCAGAAACTTGTAGTAAGAGGTAGTGTTGGGAGAGGAAATTGGATCCAAGTTCATTCACTAAATACATATTTATTGAGTAGCAGCCAATGAAAGATATTAAAACCAGGAATGAGTATCAATTTATAGAAGAAGGAATGGATACAAAACATCTCATCACTTCTACCCAGGTACCCTTTTAACACCTGCAACAGTTTGCTGACCCAATAAGTAAAAAGGGAAAAATTACAGATGCCAGCATCAGCCATGAATGGCTAAACTTAGAATAGAGAACAAAGGATGAATTCTCAAGGAGAAGCAACACGCCTAGTGATGAATTGGCTGATAAGGGAAGGAAGCAAAGATCCTTCCAGTGATGGAGTTTTTGATCACAGAGTTGCTGAAAACATCCATCTACTGGACACAGGCTACTGACAGAGCTTGGTGAGAGCTTCAAGCTCAAGATGTAAGATTTGGGAGTGATGCTGAAGTTTTGTATGAGTTCTCCTTTACCCATTTCCCAAATTACATGTAGTACATTCCATGCAAATCATAGTAACCACTAGGAAAAAAAAAAAAAAAGGACCCGCTTGGAACCAATGCCAAGTTCAGTTCTTAGCATCAAGGTAGATGAAGAGGGAAAATTTCATAAAACCCACCTTGAACAGAAAAGGCATGTGGGTTCATCTCACAGCCAGAGTACTCAGACAGCATTCCACCGGTGTGTTGCCTTGGCAGCAGTTGCCTAGTAAGAAAAGTGGATGATAAAGGAAGAGAGAAAAATGAGCAGGAGCAAGAAATCAAACCAAATATTTGATGTTCTTTGCAAAGGTCTTTAATAGAGAGGGTATTCTACAGATGGGTATAATTTTTAATATGCAATATCTGTCCTTCTAAAGCCCTTTTCTTGAACAAACAGAACTTTAGAAGGATTACTAGGGGCGGGTGGAAGGGATGGGAAGGAAAGCCATGAACATGATCGCATGTGCTGCTCAGCAAGGGGGGGATCAGATAATTGACGCCATGTGCCCCACCATTCTGTGTTTCCCTGCAGAGTGATGCCAATGACCATCCAGTTCTCCATTCTGATTATGCTGCACTCGGCTCTGGTCCTCATCACCACAGCAGAGGATTATAAGTGTTTGCCCCTCATCCTCCGGAAAACTTGCTGTTGGATTAATGAGACCTATTTGGCCCGGAACGTCATCATCTTTGCATCCATCCTGATTAATTTCCTGGGTGCCGTCCTAAATATCGTAAGCATCCCACATCCACCAACCCTCTGGTGTCTGGTGTGCAGTCAAGCATTAAGAGTTTATGGAGCCTCCAGCTTCTTGCATTACCCTTCCTTGGTACCAGTTACCTGTATGTGCCTGGTCCAGCCCCAAGCTTAGAGACAAGACAGTAAAAATGTGGCTACTGCCAGAAATGTGCATTTTACTGTTGGAAAATTATCTGTTTCCCAGTGCAGGAGGTTATTTGCTCCAAAGGAGCTTCAAAAGAACCTTCATTGTCTGTATTGTCAGTAGCTAGTTAATTATATCAAAAATACCAGTTACTATTTATTTAAGTACCGGTACCTACCTGCTGTGTGCCATGCACTGAAAGAAGAGCATTACATGTATTTCTTATCTAATCCTCACATAGACCCCCTTGAGGTAAGTCTCGTTATCCCCACTTTATGGCTGAGGAAACTGAGGCTCAGAGACATGAAATAACTTGTTAATAAGGTCTGTCTGACTCCATCACCCATGCTCACTCAAATATGCTAAATTGTATCACCGGGAAAGGGAACAGGGTGGGGGAAATGGAAAAAAAATAGCTGTCTCTCATTGAGCACCTACTATGTACTCCAGGTAGGTATTATCGTCCCATTTAATGGATGAGGAAACTGCATTTCAGGAAGGCTGAGTTTCTTGCATATAACTTTTTAAGAGTTTGTATTTGATGTGACACACAGCACTCATGTGAATTCCAACTGTCGTGATACTTATCACTGTTTTAATTTGGTGATCCATGTTTTAATGGTTTCATTTTCTATCTAGAATGGTACTGCAGTAACCATAGGTATTTTCTGGGTATATACAAATAGTCTGTGTTGTCCATAACTCAGGCAGCTAGCAGATTTGAGATAATTTATCTTATTCCAGGTCTTGAACTTGGCATGTTAAGAGAGGCTAGTTGAGGCATCAACTTGTGGCTAAATCTATCACTGTGTTTTCTGAGCCTAAGGGAGGGCCCCGAAGCATTCAGAAACCCAAAATAGAGAGTCCCACAATAGTTGGCCTGTGACTTGGAGGCTTAGACTGCCTTAAATTTCACTGTCCAAAGTGACTCAGTCATTACCATGCTCAAGTTCTGTGGTGTCCTTGCAGTGAAGGACTCTGTGCAATAAGGAGAAAGGAAAATCGTCATCTGATGAATATTTTGTAGAAATGGAAATACATGGGATCATTGACTACAGGCTGCAGAGAGGTAGCCAGGATCTCAGGTCTTGATGAGGAATTAGATGTTTCTGGGGTTCAGGATTTAGAAATAAGCCCAATGACTGTGACCAGCCATGCCACCATGGTGTGATAGGAAGGCTGAAACCTGTGGAGTCAGATAGACCTGCGTTAAAAATCTCAGACCCACCCATCACCAGCTCGGTGACCCTGGACAAGTTACTTTACTTCTCGGAGTTTCATATTTTTCAGTTGTAAAATGGGGATTAAAAATCGCAGCAGCATCACAAGGAGGCTGTGAGGCTTTGTGTTCAGTGTGTGGCACAGAGGAGGCATGTGGCCACTGGTAGTTATTCTGTTCTAAATGCCACAACATCTCCAGTAGCAACTTCTGTCATAGGCAATGTCCATCACCCCCTTCAGGAAAATGTGCAGGTGCCTCTGGTCCTCACAGCTGTGGGTCTGGAGACAGGCCGTGAGCTTCCCCCAGACCTCTTCTCCTGCCATCTCGCTCTCTCTTCTGAGCTCTATGAGCACCTTCCGGTGACCTGAAATGAAGAGACCAAAAGAGCTGTCTTAACCTGGCTTCGTGACTGGCTTGCAAAGCTCTTTCTGCAGCAGTACTTGTTTTTTAAATAAAAGAGATCAAAGCAGGCCCTTCCATTCTGAAATCAAGCCCCCCTCTAGGACCCCATCCCCAGGCGTCTGCTGAGCCCAGCCGCTGATAGCACACTGATCCTTTCCCAGCACTCGCACTGACTTTGTTGTTCCTGTGTTTTTTGTTTTTTGTTTTTTGTTGTTGTTCTTTTTTTTTAATCCGCAGCTGTGGTGTGATTTTGACAAGTCGATCCCCTTGAAGAACCTGACTTTCAATTCCTCAGCTGTGTTTACAGATATCTGCTCCTACCCAGAGGTATTTATTTACGAGCTCCCCTTGGTGAGAGTTGGACATAGGTCTCTCTACTGGCTCCAAATAAACAGGACCGGCAGGAGGGCCTTGGAAAGTACTCCAGAGGCCTGTTGTCCTTCTTCTGCCTCTTGCTTCTTCCTTTCTTCTCCTCCCCCTCTTCTGCCTCCCCTTCTCCTTTTATCTTCTGCTTCTGCTGTCCTCTTCCCTGACCTTCATCTGTTCTTCCTGTCTCTACCCTTCCCTTTCCCCCTTTCTCTCTCCCTTCTTTTCCCCCTTTCCTTCCTTCTTCACCTTTCCCTCTGTCCATTTCCCTCTTCTTCTTATCTCTTCTTCTCCTACTTATTTCCTCTAACTCATCTGCAAAATCCTGTAGCAAAATAGCAGAATGTGCTTCTGTTTCCAGTATCAAACAGAGGAAGGAAGGAAGGAAGGAAGGAAGGAAGGAAGGAAGGAAGGAAGGAAGGAAGGAA